CCAGCTTTGCTGGCTGGGGAATTCTGGGAGTTGAAGTCCTCCAGGCTTAAAGTTGCCAAGGTTGGAAACTCCTGGATTAGACCCTACCATTCCATTTGATTTCTGTACTCTTTGCGGTTATGCATAGATGGGGGGGGTGGAATGAGAAAGTGAGTTTTTCTTAGGCTACCTCACAAATGCATTTTTCTATGAGATTCAATAAAAAGTTAAGTGTGTGAATCCTACGTGCACATGCACACAAACACATACATTCTTCATTGCTTTAGTGGTCTTAAAATTCCCTTACCGTATATCCTTCAGAGAATGGTGGCACATCTGTTCCAAAATAGAAGAAACTGTGTTGGATTAGCAGATCAAATCTAGTCTAACAGTTACTCGGGGTCCCTTTACTAAAATCTGTATTTTAGGAGAATGCTGCTCAGTAAAAGCAGGAAAGCTTCTCCTGCTTGAACAGTAGTGTCTGCCATGACGTATTGAAAGAATTGTGAAATGTGAAAAGGCAGAAGGCCTTTGAAAAGGGAGTAGAGAGGGCATGTCAAAACCATCTGAAGTGGAGTTTCCGGTTTGTCGGCTTCGCGAGCGGTAGGGATTCGCGAAGCTGCGCGATCCCTGCCGCGCTAGCCGTTTTGGGGCTCCGACCCGGACGGGTGCGGAGCAAGGCTGCCCTGCAGGGGTAGCTGAAGGTAAGGGGGATCCGGAGGAAGGGTTTGGGGGTGTTGCAGACCCCCTCCCTGGCCGGCAGAACCCCCTTTTACCAGGACGGTGCAGCGGCGGTCCGCAATGGCCGCCACAAAGAAGTTGACAGCCGGGCAAGTATGCGCAGGAGGAAGAAGAGAAAGTTATTGAAAGTGAAAGTTCTTCTTGGTCGACCCAGGGCTTTGAGATTTATCTAATTTAATTCCTGGAAAAGATGGTTTTTTGATGATTTTCCACAAGAGAAAAAAAAAGCGGCTATTTTGAGTGCTGAAAGGAAAGTTTACTCTCCCTCCCGACGGAATTAAGCCGGAAGGGAGAGGATAAAGAAAATATATAAATTTGGATCTTGTTGGAGGAGATGCCTTGAAGACTTGAGGACAGAAATATAATCTTAATAAGGCTTTAAAATATAGATTTGGACTCTTTTTTTTTATTTGTTTGATACCACCCCTGGAAGAGGAAGGGGGAATTTTGGCTTGCTTGGATTTATTGAGGATTGTGGATTTTGGGATTGTTTTGCCTTTCTCTCGGAATATTTGGTTGGTGTAAGAAGAAAGAGGAATAAAGAAAAGAAAAGATTTATTTATAATGGCTTTCCTTTTTGAAGACCTGAGGGATGAATATGAGCAAACAAAAGCAGCCTGCAAAGATGGCATGGAAAAAGCTTTTCTATTTCTAGAAATGGCGCTGGTCAATTACCAACAGACAATGGAACAGATGGAAACGGAAGAAGAACAACAAGGAAGAGACGAAGACGCCATCTTCATTGAATCCCAAAACTTATCTAAGGAAGAAGGAAGGAAGAGAGCAAGGAAAATGAAGGACTTAAGATCTAAAAAAACATTTGAGAAAGAGAAAAATATGATGCAAAGTAAATATAATGATAACAAACAAGAGAAAAAGGGAACGCTACAGAGAAGGGATCCCAGCAAGGCAGAGGTTAGAAGAAGAAGGGGGGGTAGGAAGATTTGGTGGGGGAAGAAAGAAAGGGGAAAGGCGGAGAAAAGCCTCAAAGCTTTAAAATTGGATGGGAGAAGAGGGATTTTTTTTAGAGACAAAGGATGAAATATAAATTTCTGTAAGAAAGATTCTGCTAAGGTACAGAAGATGGTATTGTAATATTTATATTTGAAATAGTAAATTAGAATGGTTTAAGATTTAATAAGAAATTAAAATGTTGAAGTTTTTAATAATGATTGATTTTTAAAATGTAATAAAATATCGAAGGAAAGGAGGATACAATGTATTTAAACATTTTTGGTGGATAGAATGTACCAAGCAGAACCAAATTGGGTATTTGTTATGTTGAATGTTAATTTTACTAACTTAGGGGGAGGATAGAAAGGCATCATACTCTGATTAGTGATTTCAGGAGAAATTCTTTTTATTATAAGAAGAGATAGAGGGATAATGAATGGGCAAAAGATACAAATTTAATGATTTAATTAAGATGGATTAAATAAAAAAAACCATCTGAAGTGGTCATAATCCCAATTTTTCCCTTAAAGCACATGATCAGTAAAGAGTCTTAAATCCAGAGCAAATAGGTATTGGGACAAACTGAACAATATTATTTTAAAACTGGAACAGCTCAATAGGACTTTAAACTGTCTTCATGGTTGGCTGGGGATGAAACTAAACCAAGTGTCAATCCACACTTGAAGTGTTCAGTTAGCTGCTTTATTGCTCAAACCTGTACACAGGAATCTTCTCAGACTAACCGTTTGCATCTGGATGACACTAGATAAGGTTCAGTGGCATTCAAGGGGGTCAGGCTTTGCCTTCTTGTGCCCGCATAGAAGTTCTAGACTAAGTCCCCATTTGACTCCTCCAGTTTCTCTCCTACAGGCAACGTCATCTAATTTAAAAATGGTTATATATGGTATGTATATGTTCATACTATAGTTAGGTGTATACAAAGATTAGCCTGAAGTCTGCTAAGAAAATGAAGCATTAAGTAGCTAGCTGTGTTTCACGGTGCTATTATTTTTTATTGATGCCAGCTTAGAAAATGTGATGATAGTGGCCTATATCCTGGGCCAAGTGTAATGACTATAGTGATACTTTATGTTGCAGCCCAATCCATCTAACAAGCTAGCTATTATCCATATATTGGGTCTACTCTCCAACCTCTTCACCACTTTGGACATCAGTCACCATGATGATGATCATGAGAACACGGAGGTTAAAAAACTGCCGGTGCCTCAGGGCCCCAATCCGGTGAGTGTTGTTGCATAGTTGAAGAAGTTCTCTTTGTATGTTAATACAAGTAATTTTTAATAAATGCTTATTTCCTCTGCAATGCAGTTATTATGAGCAGCTTTACCTGTAGAAAGTAATACTGTCCTTGTTAAAAATTATGATGAAAGTGATATTTTTATATTCCTATATTGTGTTTTGTACTAATTTTATTAAAAGTTTTAAATACAACAATAAAATATAATGCAAACTTAAAATAGGAAAAGGGAAAGAAAAGGGTACAAAAAAGCAAAAAAAGAAAAACATTTCTTCCCAAAAAAGCAACTTCCCGCCCTCATCATGACAAGTATAAATAATTTCATAATCTTTTCATCTCCTTTAATAATAAATATAAAACTTTAGATCCCATAATTCATCTCTTATTCGATGCTAATCATATAAGCAACATCTTCAATCAGCAAAATGACTAGTCAAGAGTTTAAAACAATATTATTTAATATATATAAAACTCAACATTCTACATCTCAGTTGTTAGTTGTAAGCAAAACCCCATTTAAAAGACATAAAATGATTCTGATAGAATAATATAAACAAGGAAATCTAGTTTAACATGACAAGGAGGGACCATTTCTCCTTTAAAAAAGACAAGTTGCCAATACACAACCTTCTATGCCAACAACTCCAAAGAAAACCATCCCAAATAAATTATCCCATTCAAATAAACATTCCCTACCTCAACTATAAATTACAACAAATCCACATTTAGCAAATATAAAGGATTCTAATATCCTAATATAAACAAAAAATGAAAAATTATCATAACAAACAGAAATAATTTCTCATTTTATAAAACAAATACATAGAACTAAAAAGACAGGTACAGAGTCAGTTTAAACGCTATGAAATTAAGATACATAAACTAGGGGAAAAGCTTAAACATCATATTAAATGCAAGCAAATACAATATGCCACATTATTCCTGTCCAAATATTGGCATCCAAAAAGAACCACCTAAAATCACGACATTCCCATTTTAAACATGGTCAAATAAACCAACTTTGCATTCCCCCTTTTTATACAGAACAATCTTTATAATCCATTCAGATAGTTGTTGAACCTTGTTATGAATGTCTTCAATAGTTTAAACAGCCTTGTTTGTAAGTCCAGCAAAAAAGGTATTTATTTCCTTCTTAATTTTTAAAGTCTTATCTATTTTTTCTATCTGATAACAAATCCTAATTCAAAGTTCTGATTGGTAGATTTTCTTACATATGTTTTTCCATACATCTTATTCTGGGAAGACACTGTTCCAAAGAAGACACAAGATAGCTGATATAATTAATTCAAAGTCCTATTGCAGTTCCCATTACAGTTTTCCAAAGATATCTCTGACCATCCTTATAAATTCCTTTTCTTGTTATGTCTCCTATATCCAAACTGTTTTATTTCCCACAAAAATATATTATTTAAGATGAATTTAAAGTCTTTAAAATCCAATATTCTAATGTTTTCTGAGCCCTTTCTCTATGTAAAACTTTTATAGGCAAAACCTTGTCTTACTTTTTTGCTATTTATTTTAAAATTTAATTTTAAGATTAAAAATTTTTTATATTAAAGATTGAAGGCATCGCATTTCATCTTGTCACTTTGAAGGTGTCTTAACTTTTTTGAAGCAGTTAATAGGCAATTTCCACAATGGCCGCAAACATTATCTCCTCTTGTCATGGAGCCATCTTTAGTCTGCCATCTTCCCTGGAAGTCCCCTTGCATTCTTCTGTTCTAAATGAGACTCTTTAGCTGAGTTACCCAAGATCATGAGCAGTTTTATATGACTTTTAGTGTTCAGAACATTCCTTTTAAAAAAAAAGCTTCGTTTGCATTAGTCATTGAGAATGAGAAATATGATATGCATTGTATATTTTTAGATATGCATTACTAGTGTAGTTATAGGAGGTGCCCAAAAGGTTTTCAAGAGAATCTCTGACTCTCTTTCAATCTGAAAATCTGAATGTCTATAAATAAATTCAAAATAATGTAAGACACACTCATTTCTGAATTATATTCTGTGTTCATTCTCCTTTATAGGTAGTGGTGGTATTACAGCAAGTTTTCCAGCTCATCCAGAAAGTGCTCAGCAAGTGGTTAAATGATGCCCAAGTTGTGGAGGTAATGCTTCTTCTAGTTAAAAATAAAACAACCCACAAAAAGGGATACAGGGCAGGGCATTTGCTTCAGATAGTTACCGTGCCTGAGCAGGTGGATTTACTGCTCTGATATCTGGCCAGGGATCTGCTAATACTGGTAACAGAACATTTCTTTTAAAAACATAGGCCTGCTAGGAGGAGAAACCCAGATTTATCCTGTGATTCTATAAAAATATTTGATCTGTGATAGGTACTTGACATACTGCTGTAGTATACTCATCTGAATTATGCTGGTGTGTTTCTTAGCATTAGATCTGCTCTATTTCTTAAATAGCTTGAAATCAACATGCCACCCCCTTTCTAAGGTAAGTTATGGCACATATGAATTGAGTCAAGCATATACACTTAAGAAGCATGATATCATCTATCTAGCAGTAGTGCCATTTGGATTATTATTCATTCACTGTATTTTTATCGCACTGCAATTTTGCAATTTTATATGTATATATGTAACCAAGTATAAATATGTATGAACTGTATGAATAACAACTTTGCATTCTTGCCTTATAATAAGTTAAAATCTACTTAAGTTGCTTAAAAAAAAAAAACCACAATTTTACTATGAAAGTATTTAAAACTTCAAAAATATTTACTGTTAATCTAATACCGGTCTGATTTGTTTTTAGCAAAATGGTATCACTTTTATTCTATCCTACATTTTTAATTGTTTAGCATTAATTAAGCTATGCATTTTACATTGTGTCCTGTCTGGGGATTGATTCTAAGTGTTTCCTGTCTGGGGATTGATTCTAGAAGATAATTTCAAGTAATTCCCTTAATTTGGGAGGGGCTGAATTGGTTCAGTTCATTTTGGTCCAGTTCAATTTTTTCCTCTGATGACTTGGTAATACAGCTTTAAACATCTCAAAAATGATTGCTGCAGTTAAAAAAAAAAAGGAAAGAAAGTAGTTGGGAGAAAACAGATATCCAGCTGTGCTCATGCAGATATACAAGAAAGGAACATTGAGATTAAAAGGGCTTGCTGTCCTGTTGCTGCACCCTAACCCTCACTAATGGGAAAGCAACAATCATTGTGATCTCTTCTCTCCCAGAGAAAGTGCCATGATAATTTCTCCCTCACTCCTCATTTCCTCTTGTTTTCTTTGTTACTTTATCTTATATAGAATATATATAAAATACAATTTTATGTTGTTGTAAATAGTTGCAATATCTTTTTTAGGCAGCTCATTTAAAACCAGTGGATAAAAGGAGCCAATTGAAAGGAAGTGCAACAATTGATCTATGTGTATTTCACCCTAGAGAACTGAGAGGTATATCCTGTGAAGAGTTAGGGATTTTTGTAACAACTACCATGAAAGAAAGAAGAAATAAACTATACAATTTGTAACAGGAGATTAGCAACCAGCTGCTATATCTATGGGCCTAGGGCTATTCCTTTGCAGTAGTATTTAGTATGAGACAAATGAGTACTGGAAATTCTTTAAACTCATTTCTGGTTATGTTTTGTTTTCTTGATCTTTTGCTTTGGGTTACACACTTATTTAAAAAGAAAGATAAGTATAATCAGTACAAACTTGAAAATAAGCTTTTTCATATGGCTAAAATTTTGTTTGATATATCTGCATGACAAATCAAAAGCTGTTAACACTAAATTCTCAATCATTTCCCTCATAAAATTATATCTCTAGTTTTGCCTCAATATGAATGAGGTTCTTTGCATTTTTAACAGTGCTTGAATATAAAATTTAAAAAATTGTGCTAACTTCAATCCCTTACTCAGTGTAAAATTCTGAAATATGTATTTCTGAAAAAGAGGTATCTCACCTATGATTGTAGACATCCAATGAAGGGAGTCATGATTATTCTGTGGTCCCAGCGTTGAACTGCTCTTACTGACTTTTGTAAAAGTCAGTAAGATATTTGAAGAGTACAAAGAGTGCTATCATTTAATCCTTAGTCTTCTCTACTCAAGAATAGTCTTATAATTTTCATTGTCTTTTGCTGAACTATTCCAATTTAATTGAATCTTTCTAAATATGTGCAGCCCAGAATTGGACATAATATTCAAAGTAGGATTTGTCCAGTGCAAAATAATTGCAAACAATCTTTCTATTGATTTGGAAACATCGCTTCTCTTGCATTTGCCTTTTTTTTTGGTATTGATGTAATGTTATTGATTCATATTGACATTGAAATCAACTACTATTTTTATTTCCTTGCAAGCACAGCTACCCAGTTGTGTATTCTTCATCCTTTACCTTGGAATTCAGTTTTTTGTTTTCTAAATGAAAAAATGGTATCATGTCAAGGGTAGGCAAATCTCTCTTGCCTTCCCCTATCTCTCAAGGAGAAAATTGTCCAAAAAACAAAAAAACCACCAGTCCAGGAATTTCCTGAAATGCCTAAGCTTGGTGAAATGCTCCAAACAGATATTATAATATGTCCCCTATAATTACTGTGTCATGTCTGGGAAAGATTTACAATTTTTTGGGAAAGAGATTATTCACATATTTTCCATGGTGAGACTTGTGATAGTAAAAATTGAAGCCTGTGTGCCTTTTATTTGTTCTTCTGCTTATTTATCAGAGATGCTCTTTAAAGTACTAAGTACATTCACTTGGGTTTCTGAACAGGAGTGATTACTTTTAACACATAGTGCAACTTTTTCTATTGCTTCTGTTCCTATTGAACCAATTTTATATTGCTAGATTTCATTCATGGGACTCTTCCAACATGTCTTTATCAAATCTATTAAATCTTATTTGCTTTCCTATGTTAATAGTTTATTCATCTTGTTTATGTCACATCTAAAAATTAGTGTATTGACAAAAGAGGCCATAAACTTCATGAACCAATGCTCTGTTTGATTTTTTTATTCAGTGCTTCAAAGGCCACTTTATTATAGTTTTCTATAGCAACAAGTATTTATCTAAAATTTCTACTTCAGGATTTTAATGAAGCCCTATAACCAAATTTATAATATTTTGGCCAAATTTTTTCATTAGGCCTGTTGTTTCTTTGTTTAGCATAACTGCTAAACAAAACTGCCCAAATGTGATCTTACAAGGTGCGTACCATCTTGTTCAAGAAGTCTGCCATATACATAACTCAAACCTCCATGGATAAGTAGAAAGTGTTTAAACTATTTGGAAAATAGTAGCTTTCCTAAAGTACACCCTTTGGTGTTTACATACATATCACAATTTCCAACTGAAAAGTATTTTCACTTCCATTCAAGAAAACCAACTTTTGAAACAGCAGGAGAACTGTAAAAGTGAAAAAACTGTAATATTGTAATAGTGGCTGATGTGAGCGAGATAGAATGTTATTTTTTTAAAAAAAATGGGGAGCCAAAGATTGGTCTTTGTTTAACCATGAATTTTTGCTGGATGATCACAAACAAGTCTTGCTCAGTCTACCCTATCTCAAATGATAAAATACAACAATTTTATGCTGCCTCAAATTTCTTCAAGTAAGAATAGAATACAAAACAAGTAACTCCTTAGTTGAGGGGGGAAATTATTTCCTGCACCCGGTTTTCCCTTGACACAGCCTCTTATCCCCACAGTCTGTGTGCTCCATTTTTGAAAAATCTGTGAAGACTCTTCTAGATGATTTTGCACCCATGGTGCCTCAACTGTGTGAGATGCTGGGACAGATGTATAGCACTATTCCTCAGGCATCTGCTATAGACCTCACCAGGCAGGTAAGTTTTTTTTAGCACATTAATCTCTGATAAATACTAAATTCAGAAAGGAAAGTAATACTTGTTGAGCAGTTTTTCTGCCAGCTGGTGCTCTTGGCTTTTTCCTTTGATATAAGAATTTTACAAAAATGAATTTTTTTTCACTCTGTTAGCTCATGTAAATGGATAGTATGTCTCTCTATGGGCAAAAACAAATGAAAAACTGCAACATCCTTGAACCATCTTGCCTCTTTTGGTATCTTAATACTAAAGTTTTCGCTGATGCTTAAGAGTAGAGACAATTCGTTGGCCCAAATATGAGTAAGGGGAGGAAATTGGTAAAAAGTAGGTTTAAGGATGTGAAATAGAATGCAAAATATCATAACTATTCGATTTCTGTGTTTTCTTACATCCTCAGCTGGTTCACATTTTTGCCCATGAGCCTGCCCATTTTCCACCAATCAAGGCGCTCTTTCTGCTTGTTACATCAGTTACATTAACCCTCTTTCAGCAAGGTATGTATGTCTTGAGACCCTCACTCTTGTGAAGCAGTTGCATTTGGTAACAGTTCTTTCTATTCGTAAGATGTTCAGATTCACATGTAGGGCTGCAGATAGTCTCCGTTCCCTTGTTCAGACGGTAGGCCCTGCTGAATGAGCTCCAGCCAAGTTTAGAAATTACATCCTGAGTAATGAGAATCAAATTTATTAGCTTGTTTCTCTCTGAATATCAGTTGCTATTTGAGAGGGCAATAGTGCTATCATATTCTCCTCTCCCCTCCTTCCGGTTCTTTTAAACTGAAACTGTGCCCTTTGTTTGTCAGATTCTCAGTTTTAATAAAAAGTCGAGTTAGTAGTCTTGTTCGCATAATGGTTGGCTTTGAATAAGACCTACCACCTGTAGGGAGTGTGTTGCTATTTAGTTCAACATCACCAGAACAATGTGTTGTCACTCACATCTATCTGTTCCTGTGGCCCAATTTGTTCTGAAGGTTCTGCACCACAACTCCTCTGTCCTTCTGCTGACAGGTTTTCTCTCAGAGCTCTGCTGATTTCGTAGCAAGTGTTTGGGTTTGCCTTTTGCTTCTGCGGAATTGCCATACTGCCATTAAGGTGTCCCTAATTGAGGGGATACGCTTAGAAGTATGTAAATAAAATCAGCATGCAATTGCATGGTATTGAGGGATCTGGTCCCATCCCCAGGAGGCTGGTTGGAACTTGGAACTTGGAATCAGTACTTGAGTGATACCCTGTTAATGCCTAGTTTCATTAGGCAGAATTATGGCATCAACGCAGAGGAGGATGAGTCTCACGGTGCCTGATGCTGAAGAGTGGTTATCAGCAGTCATGCTGGTCTTTCCCTATTAAAAATGTTGCAAAGTTATATACTTCCCAGTCAAGTGAACATTTTGACAAGAGTGAAAGGAGCATAGTGTGTTGGGATGGCCATTACAGTTCAGATGGATTTTAGAACTTTTATTCACTCACATCAATATTGGATTTGTCAATAGACTCTAGAATTATCTTCAGGGACCAAGTATTTTAAAATAAGGATCCACTGCAAATATGATAGTTCTCTAAAAGAAATTGATGTCCAGTTAGCTCCTGCTTCTCTTGTACTTCCCTGCTAGGGTGCAGTCAGTTCCCCCTTCTTATTCCTGGTGCTTGGCAGGGGAATCTGGGCGACATGCCTATTCCTTTGCACTTTCTTTCTGTTCTTGGGTTTCCAAGCTCCATGATTTTTGTATGTTTTGTTTCTTTAACTTGCTTCAAGCTGCTCATGTGCCTGCCCTCTTCAGCCCACCCTGTTGCACCTTCCCCCCCACCCTTCCCTTACTCCTGTTTTCACTTGTAAATTCTTTCTGTATCACATAACTATATGATGTTAAGTTGCTGTTTGTATGATTTTTCTCTTCAGTTACATCTTTATTATATTTTTAGGGCCCAGGGATCATCCTGATATTGTTGATTCATTTATGCAACTCCTGGCACAGGTGTGTTTTAGTTTCTTATTCATTCACTTTCTGTTCTCTCTCTTTCTCTTTTTTAATTCAATTTAAACCTATTTTAGCTTTCTGTTGACAACGTTTTTCCTTTTAGTTGAATATCGAGTTTCTCATCTGTTTCTGTGGAAGTTGAAAACAAAACATTATCCCTTTTCTTAGGTATAAGTTTATCCCTTCTTCTCTACATAGAAATGCAACAAGACCTCTAGATTGGATTTGGTTCAGATCATGTGCTGTGACCTGAAACAGGAGGAACCTTTGGAAAATGGCAAATGCAGTTCAGAAACTTTAAAAATCCATATTGTATATGTGTTGCACGTTTGGCTCTAATGATTCTGAGCTCTTAACAAATCCAGAGTCTCCAGTTGTTGGGTAGAAGTCAGTGATCTAGTGGGTTATATCTAGAAGAGAAACTTGATCTAATATGATTAACAGGACATAACTTGATTTGTCTAAGTGCTTTCAAAGTCTTTTGGTGCTCCATCCTTCTTCACTCTTGTAGAGATTTCCTGGGTTGGTTTTTGTTTTTTTCCAGATGATGAATTTTCATGCTGCCTTGTCTCAAATGTTGTTGTAATGATGTAATGTGCAATGCAGTGAGGTACTGCTCGGATAGTTCAGCTAGGAAATAAGTGGACCGTGAACTGCTTTTGAGTTGGATGAGCAATATCTTTCCTGGAAATCAGCTGCAGGATTATGAATTAATGAAGCAGGGAAGGGCATGATCTTTGATATCATCTGCTTCTCCTGACTACAGCAAGATGCTCTCCTCTTGGCTCTGATTTATTGTTGCTTGGTAAGCTTTTTGTCGGCTGTGATGTGGAAAATGTTTTAGCACCTAGCCCCCTCTTGTGACAGATTTTAAAGCTTGCAGCAAATACATCTCACATTTTTTTCTTCTGTAAAACTAAAGAGATCTCAGAAAAAATATGACATTTTAACACTATTTTAAGAATCGGGGCATCACCTTCTTAAAAATGCTTTTTCTTCACCTGAGGAGGTTGTTTATTTATTTAGTGTATGGCACGTGTTAGCTAGGGATCACCGAAGTGGCTGGCTGCCTCTGTGAAAGGAATTGTTTCGGGCAGTGTTACCTTTACCCATGGGATGCCTGAATGCTGGTAGGCAATCGGGGGAGGCTCCTTTCTTGTCCCTCTGCGGTTTGTTCGCACATGGGAATCGAGCCGCTGAGCTGTTGACCTCAGCAGTACGCAGGCCTAGTGTCTTACCACGTGAGCCACCGTGGCCCCGACCTAAGGAGGTATTATCTACTCATAGAAAATTTATGAGCCACTGACATTAGAAAAAGACTTTTTGAGATTTGTTGACATAGTTACTATGCCTACCATTGCTCACTAGTTTGTTTCAACACTAATTAAAAATACAGATAGTCCTCAACTTATAACCACAGTTGAGCCCAAAATCTCTAGCTAAGTGAGACATTTGTTAGGTGTATTTATGTCTCTTATAGAGATGTTTTTCATAGCAGAAATAAACAATTTCTGTAATCATATGCTTTTCCTGATATTAAATAATGCATAAAAGTACTCAGTGGGTGTCCAGACAATGGTGGGACTCATCTCCGGGGGAGGCGGGGAGGAGTCTTACTACTGAGATGAGGTGGATCGGTTGCTTTCGTGGTGTGGAGATAATAACTTGGTCCTCAACACCAATAAGACCAAGGAGCTTATAGTGGACTATAGAAGGAAGAGATCAGACATCCAGCCCTTGCTTATCAATGGAGACCGAGTGGAGCACGTGGCCAGTTTTAAGTTTCTGGGTGTTACCCTAAAAGAGGACCTGACCTGGGGTGCTCACATTGCAGCCCTGGTCAAAAGGGCCCAGCAGAGATTATACTACCTGAGACTTCTCAGAAAACAACTGAATGAAAAACTGCTGGTGACCTTCCACTGCTGCACCAGAGAGTATTTTAACTTACTGCACCTCTATATGGTTTGCCAATTGCGCAGATAGGAAAGCATTCCAGAGGGTTAACATAATTGCCCAGAAGATCATTGGTTGCCCTTTCCTCTCTTTGGAAGAGCTTTATAGCTCCTGCTGCCTTAAGAAAGTTCAAAACATTCTTAAAGATCCATCTCATCCTGGAAACCCTTTTTTTGAACTATTACTATCTGGCAGACTGTACAGAATAATTAAAAACAAGGACAAATAGGCTGAAAAACAGCTTCTATCCCAGGGCAGTAGCTCTTTTGAATTCTGCTGTATAGTGCAGTATTGGTGCGGTGTTGGGGATTTTCGGTTCAATGTGTGGATGGTGAAGGATATGTGTTTGTGTTTATTTTCATGGTCATGGTCATGATGTGCACTGAAGATGTTGTTTGATTTCATTGTACAAGGTGCAATGACAATAAAGTAAACTAAACATTTATCAATAATTTTATATAGAGCTTTTGGGAGCTAATTTGCTTCAGCTCTGGTACATTATGATCATGCTTTTTGAAATTCTGTCTTCCTGTCTGTCCTGGCAATTTTTCAAGAATCTACTTTTCCCAAGAAGGTGTAAAGCAGGGGCCCCCAAACTCCAGTCTGTGGCTCACTAATGGGCTGTGAGCAATTTGCAATCGGACCGTGGAAATGGCACGCACACATCCATTCCCACTTACGTGAGCAGTGTGTGAGCTTGTGCACACACGTTCCAGTGTGTGGGTGGCAGGCGCGCATGCTTTCCACAACGCAGATGGAGCTACGTGTGCTTGCTAGCTGCTCACGCAGAACCATCCCCTCTCTCCCCCCTCCCCCTTGCCAGTCTGCAAAGCCAGAAAAATTGGAGAATTCTGCTGTAGAGCATTAAATCAATACCAGTAATCAAATCTTTGGCTTATATAAGTCATATGTATTTTCCCCTAGATTATATATCATGTCCTGCTACAGTATAGAAGATACTGAACTTCTCCAGTAGAGATCATTTATATTTTTTCCATAACAACATTTATCGGTATCAAATAGGGAAAAAGAACAAAATTATAGGGGTCCTCCCTCATCCTAGTTAGCAATATTTCATGATAGCTTTATTTGTTGCCAGTTCTGAGAGTGGACTCTTCAACAGAATTGATTGCATATCAGCTATTCTTTTGCTGACTGATTCAATTTACATGCCTATAAAACATTATAACTTCATAGGATATCAGTCAATCTGCAGAATAGATATTTCATTTTGAATAAATCATAAGACATCACTATGATTCTAAACAAAAAAACAGATTTCTTCAAAGACTGGGAAGTTATTAAACAGCATATCAGGATTCTTCAAGAAGTCCCTTTAAAATGCATGTAGAATAGATTCTTTTTATGTCTGCATAGTGGTTTTCATTGTGCCCTTGAAGTACTCTGTTGGAATATAATTATGCCACAACACTCTCTTCATCCTTCCTTATTTAAAGATAATCCAATAAGGCTGATTTGCTTTAGGATTTATTAATCCTAAATTAAATGATGATCCTAAGTTTGATATTTTTGGCAGTTGGTTCTTCTGAAATTAGGAAGCTGTACTAACTTTAATTGTTCAAAACAGAGTAGGCAACCTCTTTTAATCCTCTGGCTTCTAGCTTTCATAGTTCTTTACTATTGGCCATAAAGGTGGCTTAAAAATATCTGGAATACAACAGGTTGCATACATACATACAAAATCAAATCACAAGTCCTTCCAATAGGCTTATATATTTAACTTTGAGGGCAGTTCAGATAAAGAGTTAATCTAAAAATGTAAAATATTAGGAACTAGCAAATAATTTTTTGGACGACTTTATACTAGTCATTCCCTCCAAGTCCTAGGAAGAGGGCAACAACAATTTCTGAATTTGTTCCTACAAAACTGCAAAGGCTTTCTATGCAGTTGACAGGAGCAAAATCTCACCTGACGGCAAAGAAAGAACATGCCTGACTATATATTTTCATGAAACTCATTTGGTGTTCATAGAAATTAATTATTTACCATTTTGCTTGATTTTCTTTGATTATAAGAAAGATTGCTATAAACATTTACAAAGGTATACTGTGACAGAGATGTATTTTACTCTCTACATGGCATTGCTTTCTGTATTTTAAGGGCCAAATACGATTCAACATACTTGCTTTTCATTTAAGATTGCTGTAAGATACATATCTAAATAAAAAGTTGTATGAATATGGTAAGAAAACAGACTTTTTCCAGTAAAATAATGGCAAATATAATATTGAAATTCATAAAACTTATAGCAATATAAAAATGTTACAAAGTCTATAAATTAACACCAAGAAGATTGAAACAGTGATCTTAGAACAAATGAAAATAAAATATAATTTGTTTCTTTCATCAGGAAAAGGAACACGGCTAATCTGATTGCTTTTGTTTGTAAGTGAAACAAAAGAGAGAGCAAGGAAAATAGAACACAAAGATATAGAAATTAGTTATTGCAGTTTAAAATATTATTGTAGAAATATTATTGCTGCTCATTATACAACATTTATAGTATTTTAATGATAGAAAACATGTCTAACAATGTGGTTAGATAACAGGGATCCATTTATACATAGAACAGAATGCATAGAAATGCTATCACAGTTACTCAGGCATAGGAGTTGGAGCTGTTGTCCATGGTGCTGAAAGATTTGTTGCTGTTAAAGGTACTGTTATCTTAAAAATCCAGTTGCTCTGCATCATAGAAGAGACTACTATTTCTAATATTGTAGTGATCACTATACTTCAGTTGTATAAAATTTGATTAGATGATACCGAATTTGCTGTTTGGCCAATGCTTTGTGCTTAGGAATGTCATGATAACTCAGATTTCAGAACAAAAGTACAGGAACTGGGAATTGCAATCCATACTACTGACAGACTAAGTATGTATTGTTCTTGCTTCTGCTTTCTGTGGTATTGTAATATGTTTCTAGGCAGATGTAGATATAAAAAAATAAACCCAAATGCTAAGTATCTGAATAATCCTTATTCTGATTATCTAGAGTGGAATTCCTATACTTGGGGTACCTCATTATTTGTAACAAAGTAGGAAGACTATGAAGCTGTTTTCCAGATAATAATTCAATTTCATGTTTCTTCAGAGGCTCGTCCTTACCTGGACCCTATGCTCTTGAATTATAAAGACACATCTTATAATCATTTCCCTTTTTCCCATACCTGGCTTACTGTTTTATAGCTGATGGCCAGGTAAGTTGCACATGCAAGCCTTTGCCACGGGTTCCTGTGTGGCAATTGCTTGTCCATGGCTTGCCAAAGCTGTGTTTATTGTCTGTGTATATATGTGTACCTTGCAGGCACTCAAACGGAAACCTGATTTGTTCCTGTGTAGCAGCCTGGATGTCAAAGCCGTATTCCATTGTGGTGAGTACGCACGTGCCATAGACTGAATTGCTTTAAAATCACTGTGGGAAATGACTTAGACAAATGGGTAATGATCCTTACGATTGTAAAGAATGGAGAAAAGTTCTTGATATGGAAATGGCTACAAAATTAAACAAAAACCTTTGTAAAAAGTTTTTAGGAAGGAACGCTTACTTTTTCAACTTGCCAAAAAAAAAAAAAAACACCTGTAATTACACAAGCTGACTACCAAATTATTGCTTCCTTCTAGCTGTGATCTCTCTGAAGTTTCCTGAAGCACCAACTGTCAAAGCTGCCTGTGGCTTTTTTGTGAGTATTTGTCTTTAGCAGAATAAATCTATCATTGGTGTCATAGAACCATAATATGAAAAGCAGTTGTTCTGAGACTGAGTAGCAAAACACCAACACTGATCAGTGAGAGCCTTTCCCAGACTGAATGAAAAGACTCACTTTCATTATTACTTCTTGGGGATATCTCTTTTTATGTACTTAATGTTTGTATTCAGACTTGGAAATAAAGTGGCAAACTTCCCATTATGTTTTATTTAAATTCTGTCTGTAAGAGAGGGATATTTCCAATTTGAAATTTGTGTTCTTGATAGCTTGATAAAAAGTTCTTGATATTTTGTCCACTTAGACCTTTTCTCCCACTTGTTATAGACCGAATTGCTGCCACGCTGTGGGGAGATTGCACCTGTGGGACAAGTGGTACATGAGAATGGCAAAATGTTGCTACAAGCTGTAATTGAGGTAAGCAGCGTGTCTTTCCTAATCTGGGATCAATGAAAAAGGATAATCGGGAAGCACTCTGCTCACACATAAGCTGCGTTTACTCCAACTTGTTTTATTAATTCAGTTTCCTTGTTATCAGAATACGTACAGCATTATCTGCATGATTCTGTCCATGTTTACTTTCACATAAATTCCACTAAAGTAAGTGGAGCTTATTTTCCAAGTATGCATGCATAGGATTGGAATCTGTTTAAGGCTGGGACCTTAAATATTCTGAAGCACTCAGCCTGGCCCTTGGTATAATCTACTGGCACCTTCATATGACATAATGTAAAGTTCACCCTGCAGTAGAGTCTTTTGCAAGATTTGACTGGATTTGTTCCATCCTTGCAGGGCATAGGTGGCCAAGCTTCACGAAATTTGATGGATCATTTTGCTGAGATTCTTTTTGCTCTCAACAAGCATTGCTTCAGTTACCTGAGTGTGTGGATCAAGGAAGTGATGCAGCAGGATGGCTTTCCATCGACCCGTGTCAGCCCTGAGCAAAAGGACATTTTCAGCCAACAAATTCTCAGGTGAGTTTTTTCTTGGC